GCATCACTGGTACAATGGTGACGGACAGTTAAGAGTCATCGGCAACCTGCCTCCCGCACGAACATAATTTATCACTTCTTCATTAGTCTTGGCACTATAAGGTTGCTCACCCAACGATGTAATTTCCCACATTAATACCCCAAATGACCAAACATCGCTTTGAAAGTAAATATTCCATTATCAAAGATTCGGTGCCATCCAGCGAATAGGAAGCAAACCTTCTCCTTTCTAAAACATGATTTAAACAAAAATTTAATTCTCTGATTTAAGTTGTTCATTTCTAGAATGTGTGCAAAATCAAAAATGTTTAATTTATTCTTGCTATATATAAATAAAACTACTTATATTCTATATTACTTAAAAAAAACAATGCAGTATACTATTATGATAAAAAAATAGAAAGTATTTTAAAAAGAATTCAATTTTTAATCTTTAATATTTTCATAATTGTACTTACCAATCGATAATAATCATCCTTGTAGATATCTCTAGCTAGTCCAAAATCTCCAATTTTGATGACACGATCCTCGCGATTTCTTGAAGATACTAAACAATTGCGACACGCTAGATCTCTATGTACGAAACGCAACTCTTCCAAGTAGCAACAACCTCGCGCAACATCTTCGCACATGGCGAGCAAATCCTGCAAACGCAGAGCAGACGAATCTGACGCTTGCAAATTTCGACATTCTCTCAAATATTTTAACAGATCTCCAATTTCCATCAATTCCGACACTAGCAACGGAGAATCTCCATCTAAACAAACGGCCAACAATCTTAATATATGTTTGTGTTGAAAACGATTCATAAGCTTGGCTTCCTTTAAGAATTTCTCTTTCTCACGGGGAGTAGCATCTTTTTGAAGCGTTTTTATTGCAACGGACATCTCTGTGCCCGATTTTTCTAAATCCTTCACCTTTCCTTGATACACCTGCAAAATATTTCACACAAATTTACATGCGTACTTTATTGAAAAATGTATAATTTAATATGAAGTAGTATTTTACTTTATATTTTACTTTATATTAAATAATTCAATGAAAAGTATATAATAAAGTGCATGCTTGTTTTCTCATGTAAATTTTATATCACTTATAATCTATTTAAAAAATTCATGTAATTTATATCTTTATTAAAAATACGTATCTGTTTTGTTAATCCAAAAAATAATTTAAAATATTGCTTGAAAAAATTAATTTTTACCATTCCGAATGCGCCGCTACCAAGATGTTTCGTAAGTGTAATTTGATTTCGTGCGATTTTAGTTATCGCATATTCATCCGGGTTATAATGTAACATAGGACTGTAAATCATATTGGATTGAGTGTTTCGGCAAGGTACTTCAGGTAGAATCGCCAATTCTACATCGGTCATTGTAGAAGACAAAAATTGTTCATTATTACCTCTGCGTTGACGATACACTATTATAAAATTACGATTTAATTATGTAATAATATATATTATAAAATTTACTGTATTTTAGTAAATTTATTCGTTTAGTTTTATATAAGTAAATTACTATTTTCAGTAAATCTCTAGATATTATATCAAATATATATGCATAATCTACAATTTAAGTTGACATTTATATCAAATATACTTACAACGATAAATGTAGAAAATGCAGATTATAGGAACTATAACCAACATCAATAATAAGTAATATTTATTCCTATTATTCCAGGAGTGCTCGGAATATCTAGATTAAGCAAAAGTATAATTTTAATATCTTCGTGTGTGTATCCTTTTACAAATTTAGTTTTACTTATAACTTTATTATAAGATTTAATTTTTTAAATTTCAGATTCCTATTCATATCCAAAAAATATCAGCACATAATATTATAATATCTATGCAGCACAAAATATTACAACTACTTTGCAACAATGTTGGAATATTACAAATTGCAAGGCAACATTACGGAAACATTGTAGAAATATAATTTAACAAAATGTGAATTAGATATCAGCAATATGATATTCATATTTTGAAAACACTTTAAAACTATAACACTCTTTAATTTATCTATAAAAATAATGTAATAATACATTTTTTTTATGTCTGTATACATGTGATGAATTTTACTTTTTTGCAGAAGTCAAATGAATTATTGACACAAATAATATCGAGTAAATATAATTCTAAGCTACAGATAAGCCTTGCTAATTTTTTATTAAAATATAGATAACATTTTATATCAATGTTACAATATATTTTATGATATATTTTCACTTCATGTACGAATACGATATTAATCTTCAAAGATAATATATCTTTTTATTATATTAAGAATATATATTATTATATGTATCATTATATTTTTCTATGCGTTTTTCTGTACTTTTCACATGCAAATATATGTAATTATAACGGATTTTTTAAATTTTTAAATTTTTAAATACAAATGTTATTAAGAATGTATAATTAATCCTATAACTAATGTATAAATGTGTATAAAATACCCATTATAAGAGTATATAGAACATTTAAAATAAAAAGAATGATTTGTAAGTAATATTTAGAGCAATTTTGTATAAAAATATAACATTTTATTTTATATGATGTTATGTTTAAATATAATTTTGCAATATATTAAATATCGTAAACTAGTATTTATATCAAGCTTTTTAATTTAATTAAATGATTCCAAGATATTCATCCATCAAAAACAAAAAATATTTTATACGTAATGTTATTAAATAGCTGCAATAACATTGCATTCTTTCCAATATATTACACTGTAATATTGCTACAATATTTCATTGCAAAAAGCGAACACTTTAAATTTATCACAATCTTATAACAATAACTCTGCAAAGTTTCGCATTCGATTTGCAATATTGCAATGTTTCAATGAAATTATACTTCAATATATCCGCAACCTTATCGTGCTGTATAGGTATTTTCATTTGCTTACCACGTTTGCTACCACGTGTTGAAAAAATAAATCTTTCATCAGTCGGCCATATAAAAGTTTCCTCATATTCGAGATATATCAATATCAAGCGAAACTTGTATAAAGTTCCCGATTGTAAATTTTTGACAGGGTACATTACTTCATTGTTATAATTCATTTTAAAATAATTCATTGTTTGCCACTTTTCTGCTGCAATCTCTTTGTACTCTAGTGTACAAAACATCGTCAGATTAATGTTGGAGATCCATGAAATGTTCATGCTATTTATGTCGACCCCGCTCAAAGTAATATTGTTTGGTTCTGAGGATATGTGAACGATCTTGCTTAAACTCTCGTTGTACAAATCACTGAAATTACTTGGATACACACGCACGTATATCAAGTAATCTTGTACTGGTAGCAACAAGTTAATCTTTGCGAAAAATCTGCCATCTACCATACGTTTCGGCATATTAATAAATTGTTTGCTCTTTTGTTGCATGCCGTTCACTAATATAACTGACTTGTAATGTACTTCGTAGGTCACGCCCACGCAATTCAATTTCTTGGGTGGCATCCAATGAACTATTGCTATAGTAGGCGTCAAAACTAAAACACTTATGTTTTCTGGTGCATTAAGCTTGCCTAAATTAGTTTTTACTGATATCACATTCGAATCGAATGGATTTATCGATAATTGATCAAAGTAAAAATTGCTCAAAGTAAACTTCAACTTGTACTCTGTAAATGGTGTTAAATTCTGAATCTCGTAATATCGCTCGCACGTCACATATCGCAGCACATTGAATTTTTCAGGTTTATTGAGGTTGTTGTCTAAACAATGGCTTACAGAGATAGTATATATAGTAGTTGGTAAATTATATTTTTTGCATCCATTCTTTACAACTGGCTCCGGAAGATTCACAATGATGCTGTTTGTTGTTGTATTCACATTCTTAAAATTATAAACTTTCTCGTCAGGTGTGAGGCATCTCATTGGAGGATATGGTTGTAAAGAATGATCAAAGGATTGAATTTCATAAAATTTATTAATTCCAATTGAGCTTATTATCTTTTCAACATATTTGTCTGCATTTACACTCTTGAGACTTGCATATTTCTTTTTCAAAACATAAAGAGAAAATTCATCTCTATAATCATTTGCTAAAATGTAAATGTTTCTTTTGTCAATCGTCATAGTTAAGAAACGGGAGATATCACTTATGTTTTCTTTGTGTAAAATCTTACTGCATATAGAAACGTTAGTGTCTGTCACAAATATGCGATTAGAAAATAACCAGTAAATTAACGGCTCCTCATTATTTATGTTTTCAAATATCACTTGATAAACAGATGTATCTTCATCATGAAATAGGCACAAGGATTTATTTATCGAAACAATTTGCTCAATTTTTTTATCGGGATGATATTTTGTTATATTATATTCTGTATTCTCCCAATTGTATGGTACGTAATATAAAATTCTAAAAAATATGTAATAATTTTACTCTCATTTTTACTTTCATTATAAAACATTATTTTAACAGAAAACAGAAATTTGTTTGTAGTGAAAATTCGAAATTCTTATAATTATATTATAACCTATTATTTTTTTTACTTATGATCTTAATTGTAAAATCACGTAAAATTATAGAAAAATTACAAATATGCATAAGTCTTTAATAGAAAATTATTTTTTCAGGTAGTAAACGTACCCCATAGACGGTGACACATTTAAAAGGAAAATATTAACGTCTGATAATTTGACAATTTCATCAAATTTAATTATGCCATTTTCCCACATTGTTAAGTCGAACTTTACAATATGATGGTAGGACTTATAATACATGAAATATAGATTTCTTGCTACCCAGTCAATGCAGAGATTATATAGATAAAAATCAAAGCTAGCTATTTTTATGATATTATTTTCATTAATCTTCGATGTCATTAGATTACGATCGTCACTCCAAAAAATTCTATGTTCTTGTATCGAATAAACGACATATTGTACATTTCTGAAAAAAAGGAACCAATTATAATTGTATAGTAAAAAGTTATAGTTGAAATTTCTAATTTTATAGTTATTACTGCTGTAATGTTGATAATAATAAACATGTGCATAATAATAATAACTTTAATTTTATATTTAGTGTTAAAAATAATTTATGATAAATATAACTGTTTTTTTATCAGTATACGTACCCTGACGTTAAGGTATTAGTAATTCTTAAATCCACGTCCAATATTTGCATACCATATCTGGATGTCATTAATAATTTAGGTATTGGATTTTCATGTGTAGTCGACACATTGATTAAATCCGTGTAAGGACCAGCAACAATTTTAGTATGCGCACGTACTCGAAAATAATATGTCGTGTTAGATGATAGATTGTGCACCGTGTGCTCCAATTTTGTAGCTGTGATATTTTTATCGTCCCAGATTTCTTTAAAGTCCTCGAAGGAAGAACACTGCACTTGGTACACTTGTATTATTTCATCGGCAAATTCTGGTTGGTTCCATCTGTAAAAACATAAAATTTTAGCAAAACGAAATAAAAAGGAAGGCTAAAAGAACGTGGCGCAAGATGTTAGAGCGTAAAAAAGTCGAAATAATAATAAAGACTCTAAGTAACAGACATAATATATTAATAATCAGTCAGATATAAAAATATAAAAAATATGTCTGAAAAAATTGATTCGAGTGAACAGAAAATAATACATACGTACGTTTCGATCTTTTCAAGATCTTTTTCAATGTTCTAGATGTCGTTAGAAAATAAATTAAATTAAATTAAAATTAAATTAAAATAAATTAAAATAATAAATTGAAATAAAATTTGAGCCATTTTATATTTTAACAAAATTATAACAGAATTACCATTTTGATATATTTATGTCGTTGAATTTAAGAAAAAGAAAGAGAAATAGAAGAATACAAACTGAGAATTTAGATTTCTTACCTCAATGTCACAAAAATGTCGTTTACTTTTTCTATAAATTGACTGTCGAATTGTACAAATGCTCTGAAAGTTATTGGCTTGCTCAATCTTTCTAAAGATTTTAAGCTTCCTAAAAATTTTAAGATCGTACACATTAACACAGTTATACATATATAAGATTAAGTGGATTATCTCAGTAAATCAGAAAAAACAATTTAATGTGAAAATAACGGAAAGAGAAGAAATAAATACACTACAAAATATGGAAATTAGCATAGTATTGAACTTTGAAAAGATAATTTAAGAATTTTTTGCGTCATTTAAGATTTAGAAAAGTAATCGTTAATTCATGGCAAAAACGAATAAATAATTTTTACTAAAATAACAAGTACTTTTCGAAAAATTCTTATAGCTTAAAAAATCAGAAGTATAATATTTGCTTTAAAACAGAGTAACATATTAATAAAATTGATTTTATCTTAAATTATAACAATTTTTATGTATAATGTTATGTTTATATTATGCTTTTCTGTTTCTTTTTAGAATTGAAATTTATATTCTTTTCAATACTGGAAGATATTTTTAGATTTGATTGCCACTCTCTCTTGAATTTAAATTATATTTACACATTTTTATCATAGATTTTGTTATTAATGTTTTATTTTATTGCAACTTACCGATAGATTCTGGAATGATAAAATTATTTGCAAGTACAACTTCATCGACTTCTCGCTTATTTCTCACAGTACTATCAGAACTTCGGTCAGATTTGAATTTTAGTATATGATGTTCACTTTTCTCGGACATTGAAATATCCTTCATAAAGTGTAACATACGAAAAGAATTAAGTGAATATCATTGAGGCGATTGTTTCTGGCTTTTAATGATAAATTACATAATATATAAAATTAAACAAAAAATTGCCATTCGTTTTTGGTTTACTTAATAATACCGGTTTGATATATACCATTCCTAAATGATATAAATTGAATGTAATGTAGTTTTATTCATGAAATCTCTTTTTTATTTATTTTTTTAAGGCATCTTGCATATCAAACATACTCATGTCAAAAGGAAAATCAAAAATAGGTTAACAAGAGTCAATGAGGATTCATAACAGCTTTTGTCAAGTACAAACGAAAGTGTAGCTCTTTGCAATTATTAAAACAATTTTGTCTAACGATTTGATTCTTTCTCATGATAGGTTAGTTAACTCTATTCAATTAACTCATATTTTTTTTTTTAATTTGCCGATATTACTAAAGTTTTATTAATGTTTGTACTTCAAGAATAAAAAGATTCAAAATATTGTTGCTTTACAGTTATTAAATATTAGTCATAGAATTATATAAATTCTTTTATTTATTACTTTGTCAAGTTTTTTCGCAAATTGTTTCGAATGTTCGTTATATTTTTAACACAAACATATTCAGCAAATAATAAATATAAACCGATATTATAAACCAATCATGTCTCGATAAGAATATATGAATATAAATGGATTGTATATAAATGGATATATGTAGAATAAAAATTAATATAAATTCTAGCGATAGTAGTTGAATATATGTTGATCGAAATATTAGTGTTGATAGATACAACTTGATGAATGATTTTTTTATCAGACAGATTTGCTATCACGATATTTAGTAGCTCTGCCCCGTTATATAATTATCCTAAACCCAAAGAAATGATGCTAACTTTCTAAATTAATTTTATAAAATAAAATTATATATATATATATATATATATATATATATATATATATATCTAGAGAGAGAAAGCGAAAGAGAGAAAATACATAGTCAAATTTTAAAATATCGTTTTAATTAAATTCAATATACTATATAACATTCATTTGTAAACAAAATTTCGAAACTTTATCCGTCTGTTTTTTACAACATCATATATATTTTTTACTTTTATATTGAATTGTTTTATTTTATCTTATCTTATTATATAGATAGAATATACAATTTATTCATTTATTTTTAGTTACACTACTAGCTGCAATAACATTCAATTGTTTCTTAATCAAGCGAAAAATATCTCCTACCTGCGTGAAATTTAAATCCAGATACATGGAAATACTTTCTTCTTGAAGGATGTTTGAAGTGTTATCATCCTTCGGCGTGATAGTTGCCTTTGTCAATATTAAACCTTTCAATAAAACACATAAAATTGTTCCAAACATCATTTGCATTTTTCGTAAACGTTTGCACTCAATCAGTTCTCGTTGAATTCTCAGTTAATTGTTTTTCTCACTCTACTAATTCTGATGTGTTAATCGAATTGACATTAATTCATATATATAAATTTATTTTCGATAAATTCCTTAAAACTCAGTTTTAACGAATCGTAAGTTATTATCTTCTAATATTATGTTTTTAGATTTCTCTTTATGATCGCGATCACAATATATACCTTATGATTAAATTATGGAATTCTTAGAAAATAAATAATTTTTTTAGGAGAACAAATGGCAATGCAAAATGATACAAAATGATCATTTGATTGTATAGCGAAAAAAGGAATATAATTATCAGCTTTTTTTTATTAATATTATAGTAGAAAAACGTCGATAAATCAGCTTTTTTTATTAATATTATAGTAGAAAAACGTCGATAAAAAAATAACCACAATCCAATCACAAACGATCAGAGAAGTTATAGAATTATAGATGTTGTAACATTTTCAGCTATATTCAAGCACACGCAACGTGTAATCGAATTCACTTGAATGTTTATTATATTTTTAGTTTTAAATATGTAATTGTGACAATTCGTTCGTACGATTTTGTTACTATATACAATTGTGTTACTACGTATGCTTTTTAAAATCCACTATTTGTACACAATTTTTTATGATATTCATTTGATGCAGTTTGAATCAAACAATAAGTAACGCGGTAATGTGTTTGGCTGGCGATCACAATACTAACTGACTTCGAATGATCAATCTGATCATGTGTTGCCATGACGTCTTATTAGCTGCATTCCGTTTGTAATTTATTTTTTTCCACGGACATACTTGCGTTATTTCAAAGAGAATTAAAATTTTTAAAAATTATTTGACAAAAAAGTTATATATGCATAAAACAAAATAGTTCAATGTATAAATAAAAATAATTATATGTATATATAATTGTTTAATAAATTTTACTATTAACTTTTTATATTAATTTATTTCTGAGTATCTTCTCTTTGGCATAAAAGGAACGTTTACCATATAAAAAGATATTCTGATTATAGGAAAATATAATAAACGAATTAAACAAGTGATTTATACGTTTTCTATGACATTCATATAATGCAGTTTGAATCAATACATAGCGTTTTTAATATAAATCTTCTAGCATAAATAAATACAAATTTTCAATAGAGCACATAAATAACTAACATAAATAAAATAATTGTACGAAATATTATTATCGTTATTTGCATCGAAACTTATAATAACGTATATAATATAATTTTACTTAATATTAACTTAACATAATATACTTAATATAATATATAATATAAAAAACTAATAATATTAATTACTTTATTATTTTAATTATATTATTGTAATTTTATATATGACAATTTTTATATGCACCAGTCTGCACTAGTGCATCCAATCAAATTCTCTCTTTCCCCGTTATAAATCAATTACTTTTTTCAAAAAAGTGATTTTCTAATGCTCCGGTCTCCTTTTGTGACTTATTCAGTCCATTCATATATTACATGATATACAACATTTTTATTTTCAAAACTATTTTTATATTTTTAAAGAAACATTCTGTTAAGAATAATTAAGAATAATGTTGTATTTCAAGAATAACTAAGAATAATTAAACAAGTATTTATATAATGGTCTCTTTTTTAAATTCATGCATAATAATAGACGTATTTTCAAATATTTTATAAATTTATAAAAATTTATTCCCTCCACAGCATTGATATATGTATGTACAAAGATTTATATGTACAATTTGAAATAGGAAAAAACTCCAAAACATATTATAAAAAAAGTTTGAAAAGAAAATTACAATTGTGTGTTAACATTTACGAATTTACAAAATGGTTAATATTAAAAAGTGTGCAGATCTTATATAATATATAAAATACAAAAGTACACATGTTGAATATCTAATAAGTATCGTAAGAAAACAAATATTCGAGTATTAATACATGCACATTTATTTACAATTTTTTTCATTAATTAACAATAAGTTATTTCTATCAGTTAGATAATACATATAACAATAATATTTATTAAATTCAATATATCATCTCTTTTACATCACTTCTTAGACCTACAATATTTTCGAGATAAAATTTAAAGTTTGATTTAATTTCCGCTGCATTGCAATCAGACATCATTGATATCAAATGGATAGTTAACCTTTAATTACGTCAATAGATGACGAAACACAATGTTTTATGACACGTGACTGTCGTCAATAAATAACTTTAAGATATTAATCAAAAAAATTTAAACGTCGTGGCATATCACCAATTATGAGCTTTTATTGTATGCTATTTAAAAGGATGCCGACCTTTCCCCTCCCCCAAGGAATGTTTATTAATTTTTTAAATGGTAACATGGGTCATGTTCAAATCAACAAACAAGAGATGATCAAGAAACTATAAAAACAGAAATGCACCTGGACACTCAAACAATTTTGTTGGCGGAAAAAATCATGTAAGAGATTATGATGGAAGGAAATAATTATTCATACGAAGAATTAACGGACATGATCCTTATTTATGGTGAGTGTCGAAAAAATCAAAGGCAAACGGCTGCACTTTACGCTCAAAGATTTCCGGACAGACGACATATGGACCATAGTTTCTTTCACCACTTGTGTGAAAGATTAAAAAGAAATGGACAATTTTATAAATCCACCAGGCCCATTCATGTTCCACAAGAAATAATTGATGCTGTTCAAGAGGCTGTTATAACAAATCCTTATATAAGCAGAAGAGCAGCTACCGCATTTGAACATGAATCAGGTTACTGTTCATAAAGTTATTAAATATTTCCTGGGTTGGCATCCATTTAAACGGCATACAACACACGAGCTCGTACCTCGTGATATACTACGACGAATAAATTTTTGTGAATGGGTTATTGAACACGTAAGTATATTTATATTAGTATAGTTATATTTAAAAGTATATTTATATTAGTATAGTTATATATAAAAATTTATTTTCTATTTTTTTGTTGCAACATATCAGTCGTTTTGTTGTCGATTGATATTAGTCATCATACTAATACTCTTTATACTAATACTCTATACTCGATTTACGCAGGTGAATTTCAATGATGTCGGGAACAATATATTTTTGAAAAATATTCCATGGAGTGACGAGGCAATTTTTAAAAGTGACGGATGCATAAACAGACATAATGAGCATCATTATACGCAGGATAATCCACATGTATGAAGGAAGTAAACATTCAAGGCTAGGAATAGTAGGGGAGATCACATTATCAGTCTCGAATTTATTCAAGGCAATGCAGATTATTACGCAAATTTTTTACTCCATCCGCTTGATGAACACCTTGAAGATGTGCCACTAGTTAATAAACTAGAAATAATATTTCAACAAGATGGACATCCCGCTCACACTTCTATTTTGACAAGAACCATCTTAAATCAAAAATTTCCTGGGAGATGGATCGGACTTCATGGTCCTCAGGAATAGCCACCATGCTCTCCGGAACTCACACCCATGAACTTTTTTATGTGGAGCTTCTTAAAAAATAAAGTTTACCATACCCTGCCGGAAAATGCAGAAATTCTTAAAAACAAAATTCGTAATGCGTGTGCATAGATCACTCCTCTCATGCTAAGACGAGTGAGAGAAAATTTCATGCGCAGAATTGCTCTATGTTTAGAAGAAAATGTTGGTTATATTAAACAATTATTATAATTTATTATATTATATTTGAAGACCAAAAATATTTTTCATTATAATTTCATTGTTATTTTTCATTTTTTATTATAATTTTTTTGTTTAAATTTGTTTGTTAAATTTTATTTACATTATTAATATATGTTAATATATACTATTAAATATAATTAAATAAAGTGTAATAATCTAAATTAATAATATGTTATAACCTATATTAAATAACGGATAAACTATGTGGAGAACACACATTCCTTATATATTATATTCTCTATATATTATTAAATGTATTGTATCTATATTATTAAATTTCTATATATTATTATAATCTATATTATTAAATATATTTATCTATATATATATGTGATCTATATTATTAAATTTCGTAACTGTTTACTATAACAGAATGATAAAAGTTGGTTTCCCTTTTTTTTTTACTCTTCGCCGAATTCGCATTCTAATCTTATTCTGCGAGCCCAATGAAGCATGCGCCTGAAGGTGGGCAGTCAGGCAACCAGACTTAAAGATGCGCATGTTGCGAAAATACCCTGTACGACTGCATGCTTTTGTAATCATCAATATAATTTGAATATAGGGATGAGATTTGGAGGTCGTGGCGTGTGGACGTGTGTAGAGGAGCTCCGCTTTTGAGTGCATATTGTGAGGTATAAAGTGAATTCTTTTTGTCTAAAACTGGGCACTGACTGTGAATGGTTACTGCGAATCCTGTGGTATATAAATTGGATGTGTTGGGCTCTGTTGAAATAAGAATGATTGAAAATACATCATACGCGCCCAACGACAAAGCATGACGTGGCCTTTTGCAAGCCTCATATTCGAATATTCTTAGCCCAGAAGCTACAATCTTAGTCGGAATTTTTTAGTGATTTTGTTCTGATTTTGGAGCTGATCAAGTGAAAAGGCGATGAAAGGGTGAAGGTAGTGGCGGAGTGAAGGATTAATAATAAGGTGTAAAAGGAGCAAGGAAGAAAGTGAGAGGAAGAAAGAGAGGAAGATAAGACAGAAGAAGATAGACAGTAAAAGCGAGGTAGGAGAAAAGGCGAGATTGGGACCTGACTCACAAGGGAAGGCCCGAATCTGGCCATAGAGCAGGAAGGATATAGAAAGGAAAGTGAGGCGAGGTGAAGAACCTGAACCTCAAGCCTAACACACAAAGAAAAGGCCTCGATGGTCATAGAGTATGCAGAGTGAAGACAGGGAAGAGACACCGAAGAAGAACGAAACAAGGAACGAGGAACAGGAGGAAGTAACCAGAGGGGAAGAGGGTGAAGAGGAAGAGACGTTCGGAACACCGTTAGTGGAAAGAGGGAAAAAAGCGAACTCATTCACTGCGGGGGAGAGAAGTGCAAGAAGGAGGGGAAGACCGAGAAAGGGGGCAGAATACACACGGGATATTGGTGAGTTTTTGAATAGGAGTTCAAGCAAAAGGAAAATACTGGAAAGCCCGGAAGGGAATAAGGACCTGCGGAAAAAAAAGTGCGAAGAAGAAGAGAAGCAAGAAGAAGGGAAGAACAAAAAAAAGGAAGAAGAGGAGACAGTAAAAGATTTGCTAAAGGAGTCTGAAGATAGGAAAAAATTAAACAGATCACCAAGAAGAGACAGAATAGTTCAAGCAGAAAGAGAAAATCCTGTGACAGCACAGGAAATCGATGCACTAAACGAAGAGTGGAGAGAGAAAACAGAGTTGAATTCAGAAAAGGAGCGGTCTGAGGGAGAGAGAGAGATGGAGGAGAACTTGATGGAAAAGATAATGGTCGAACTAAGGGAGAGTAGAAGGGAGAGAGAGGAGATAAGGAAAGAAAGACAAGAGGCTCAGGCATTAATAAGAAAAGTGGACAAAAGATGGGAGGAAATGGAGAAGAGGATGCAGGACACGGAGGAGAAGATCAAAGAATTAATAGAGAGAATAGAAGAAAAAGAGAAAAAAGAAGAGGAGGAGAAGGCAAGGGAAAAAGAAAAAGAGAAAAAGAAGATGGAAAATATAGAAAAAGCGATGCAAAAGGTTGAAGAGGAAATAAAGAAGATGAAGGAGGTGGAGAGAAAGGATGAGGAACAAGAGAGGAAACAAGAGGAGAAGAAAGAAAAGAAGAATCAGGATAAGGACATGGAGGAAAAAAGGTGGGAAGAATGGAACAGGGAAATAAGGAAGAAAAACATCATTATAACAGGAATAAATATAAAGGAGGAGATAAGAAAAGAAATGGTGGAAGAATGGCTTAAGAAGGAGTTAGGGATAGAAACCAGGCTGATAAAGATTTGGATAATAAAAGGAAGAAGAGGATTAGTAGGGGCGCAGTGCAGCAGCAGAGAAGAAAAGGAAAAGATTATGGAGAATAAAAACAGACTAAAAGGAACCAAAATATACATAGATCACGATCTCACATTCAAAGAAAGGAGGAACAGAGAAATAGTATGGAAAAAGGCACGAGAATATAAAGATGAAGGTAAGAACGTAAGAGTAGGATATAATAAAATTATAGTAGAAAATGAAGAACACAGGTTCGATGAATGGAGAGGAAAATTTTTTCGAAAAAGGGAGGAAGATACAAAAAGAGGGAAGAAAGAAATACAGCAAGAACAACAAGAAAGAAATTAAAATGGTAATTTGGAATATAGCAGGATTGACAGAGAATAAGGAGGATAAATTAGAGTATATAAAGAGATTTGATATAATAGGATTAGTAGAAACTTGGATAATAAAAGAGAAAGAAGAGTGGATTAAAGAAAAGCTTAAAGATTTTGATATAGAATGCGTAGAAGCAAGAAAAGATAATAAGAAGGGAAGAGCGAAGGGAGGAATAATCTTAGGCATAAGAAGAGGATTAATGGACGCACAAAGGAGATTAAGAGCGACAGAAGAAGTAATAGCAGTAGAAGTGAAAAAGAAGGAAAAAACCTACAGGATAATTGTCACATACATGAATGAGAAGAAAAAGGAAAACTGGAAAGAAATCAAGAAAGTTTTGGAAGACAATGAGAGGACGATAACTATAATTGGAGGAGATTTCAATGCGAGGATAGGAGAAGAAGAAGGATGGTTAGAGGAAGAAGAAACTTTCAACCTAAGAAGCGAAATGGAGAAGGAAAGAAATAGAAAATCAAGGGATAAAACAGTTAACAAAGAAGGAGAAAAAATGTTGGAGGAAGTAAGAAATAATGGATTGTATATAGTAAACGGTAACATGAATGGAGACGAAGAAGGAGAATTTACACATATAGGCCCAAGAGGAATGACAACGATTGACTACCTGTTAACGAATATAAGCGGGAAAGAAATTATACAGCGCATGAAAATTGGAGAAAAAATAGAGTCAGATCATATGCCAATAGAAGTAACATGGAAGGAAAAAACAGAAGAGAGAAGAATGGAGATAAGGAAAGAAATAACGGATTGGACACAGGAAGGAATCAGAAAATATCAAGAAAACCTAAAGGAAGAAGAAATAGTTAGGGCAAAAAACTGGAAAGAACTAAAAGGAATAATAAAGAAAGCTATACCAAAAAAGACAATCGAAGAAAAAGTTAGGAAAGAAAGATGGTACGATAAGGAATGCAGACAGAAAAAGAGGAAACTGAAGAATTTACTAAAGCTCTGCAAGAAGGAAGGAAAAGGGCAGAAGAGATTTTATGAAGCAAGAAAAGAATACAAGAAACTACTGAAGGAGAAGCTAGAGAAGGAAGGAGAAAAAATTATAGAAGAAATGAGAAGGGATAAAACGGAGAAGAAGTTTTGGGAAATCGTAAATCAAAATAGGAAAAGAAGAGAAGGAATAGACGAAAACATAAGAAGAGAAGATTGGATGAAACACTTTACAAAACAGTTAGGAGGAACAGAAATAGATATAGGTGAGGAGGGAGAGAGAACTGAGGAGGTGATCAATGAGGAACTGGAAAAAGGCGGAAACAGAGGAGCGGATTGCAGGATAACAGAAGAGATTACAGAAGAGGAAATTGAAGTGACAATAAGGAAGCTAAAAAAGAAGAAGGCAGTAGGGCCAGACGGAATAGGTAACGAGGCATGGATCTACGGAATTGAAAAGCTAAGAGGAAAAATGAAGGAAATTTTAAATAAAATGTGGAATGGAGGAAAGTTAACAAAAGAATGGAAGGAAGGTATAATAACACCGATATATAAAAAAGGAGACAAGAAAAAAGCGGAAAATTATAGAGGAATAACGTTGATGGACACGGGTTATAAAATTTATACAGAAATAATAAGAAGAAAGTTAAGTAAAAATTTAGAAGAGAAAAAAGGTCTTAGTGAGACTCAATTAGGATTTAGGAAGGAAAGAGGCACAATTGATGCGGTATATATCCTAAAGAATGCGATAAATGAATCAATAAGAAGAGAAAAAGGAAAGTTATACGTGCTATTCGCAGACATGAAAGGAGCATTTGACAGACTAAAAAGGGAAGAAATTTGGAACATGCTGGAGAAAATAGGTATAGAAGAAAATATAACGGAAAGAATAAGGGACATATATACAGGAACAAAGAGCACAATAAAGATAAAGGAGAAAAGAGTAGGATCAATGAAACTGAAGAAAGGAGTCAGACAAGGATGCCCCCTCAGCCCGACCTTGTTCAATGTGAGCCTTGCGGATTTGGAAGAGGAGATGAGAAAAGTACAAGAAGGAGGCGCAGTATTAGGGAGAAAGAAAATTTACTCACTGTCATATGCAGACGATGTTGCACTAATGTCCACTACGCCAGAAGGGCTAAAAGAGATGATAGAGAGATTGGGAAAGTATTTGGAAAAAAAAGGCTTGGAATTGAATACGGAAAAGTCAAAGATAATGGTGTTCAGAAAAGGACAAGGAAGGAGAACCAGATTAGAATTCAAATGGAAAGAGGAAGTAATAGAAGAAGTGAAAGAATTTACATATCTGGGATACATAATGAAGGGCAACAACAGTGATGAAGGACAAATTAAGAAGCTAGAAGGTAAAGCTAAAAGCGTAGTAGGAAGAATTTGGAGCATAGGAGAGAGGAAATTTAAAGAAGATTGGGATAAAAGGATGAGATTATTCGATGCACTAATAGAATCAGTAATAATGTATGGAGCCGAAATTTGGGGGTGGAAAGAAAGGAAAGAACTTGAAAGAATACAAAGGAAATATATTAAATGGGTGCTAAAGCTTGACAAGAATACACCGGACTACATAGTGATGAAAGAAACAAACAGGGATGATTTAATAATTAAGACAGGAAAAAGAGCATTAAAATATGAAGAAAAGTTGGAAAAACAAGAAAGAAACACGATCCTGGGAGAATACTGGAAAATACAAGAGAGAAGAAGAGAAGAAAAAAGCCAAGAAGACAAGAGAGAATTCTTGAAGAAAAGAGGATGGTCAATAGAAAAGTATTGGGAAAATAAAGGTAGGAAAGAGTCAGTGTGGCAAAGATTGGAGGAGAAAGGCAGGGAAATACAGACAAATTATAGAGAAGAAAGGATAAAGGATTCAAGATACGCAGAAGAGATCAGGGAGGTACTCTTGGAAGAACACGGAAGGAGATACATGGAGAGAGGCCAAAGACTAAGAAAAGATGAATTAAGTACGGTGGCTAGGTTTAGAACAGGAAATGAAAGCAGAAAGTGCATGTTCTGGCTAAAAGAAGAGGAAAGGTTGTGCAGATTATGCGGCAAAGAAGAGGAAAGCTACGAGCATGTATTTGAAAACTGTGGAAAGGTTAAAAATAAAAATGGGAAGTGGAGAGAGATACTAGAGGGAGAAAAAAGAAGTCTAGGAAGGATGAAGGAAGTACTGTGGAAACGGAAGGAAGAGGAGAAAAGAAAGGAAATAATAGGTGGAAAATAAAAAAAAAAAAGAGAAAAAGAAAGTCAGAAAAATCAATAAGGAAGGAGTGCAGAGAGGAGAGAGATCGAGAGGATACCTGGAAGGGAGGAGATAGGTTTTAGATAGGTATACAAAGACTGATTAAATGTATTAGAATAGATAGGAGAATGAAATATTTAGAGATGGAAGAAGAAGGAAGAAAGAGATGAAATAAATTATAAAAAACAAAAAAAAAACAAAAAAAACACACACACACTAATACACACGCAAATAAAATGAATAAATGTATCTTGACAAGTTGACATAAATTGTATAAAATTAGTCAATAAATACTACTACTACTACTATAATTTGAATATATAGTCAGTAATTAAATAAAAAGATATAATATATGTATATACCTATCACGAATGACGCAAAAAATTCATTCATGATAACTGTTATAAACTGTTATAAAATAATTATATTATTATATTTATATATTCACAACTAATTATAGAGGACATTATTCGCGTTTCCTCTTTCACTCATAATTTTACATTAGTTTGTAATTATCGGTCATATATAATGTCGAAAATTAATTATATTCCCATGTTCAAAAAAATATTGTTTATACATATACATATAAATAATCACAATCATTAAATTTTGCTTCGATTACTCAAAAACACAAATTAGATATATCATTATATTATTTGATTTTGTACAATCATAAAAACGGATGTGATATTTTTTAATAATAATCAAAATTGTATGAAAAGTAAGATTACAAAATTTCTTTAATTTTCATTGATATATGTAACATCAAGAGACACGGTAGTGTCTTGAAGTCGAGTCATCATCACTCAGGCGCAAGACACACCGTGTATTTTTACGCGAATGGCTAAGTTGCGAGTAATGCATATTATCGGTTCTCAATAACCGCTGAATCGATCAAATTCTTATTACATTTAATGAATTGCTTGGGTTCGATTTATATAAGGAAAGTGTCTTTATTTTTGCTCTATGTGCTCTATAAGCAGAAATATAACGATGCAAAGTTTCAATGTGAAACTTTTTAATTAATTAAGAAACGTCACAGTCGTGGTCGTGGCTAGCTATACTACATTTTTTACATATTTTTCTTGTACGGTTCGCACGTTTGACGAAAGAGGCGCTGTGTTCTCGTGACGATAGAGATGTATAATTTTTTTATGATGATGTATAATTTTTTTATCATGCCAGAAATTACCGACTGTAATTGGAATGAATTGATCGGTACATAGTATACTTTCCGATTCACGCATGATGCGCATGAAGTGACAGAAAATGTATAGTTCATGTCACGCATATCCCCAAAAACTTACCTTTTTAAAAAAAGGTAAAAAAAGGGCGCCAAGTTCATGCACTAATTGTATCCAACTGTCATATTGTGTACAAAAATAGTGATATAAAAAAATTGCGCCAACTAAGAATAAAAATTTGTACAAGATAAATAGTAAAAAAAATTTTAATTAAAAAAACTTGGCGCTGCCAATAAAATTGGCATATATTCCAATTAAATATATGTTTAACAGCAAATATAATTGCTGGACATTTATTATTAATTCTCTTAAGATCTTCTGGATTTGTAAATTTAGACTTTTAAGCTGAACAATTTATTAATAAAATTGGCAGCGCCAAGTTTTTTTAATTAAAATTTTTTTTACTATTTATCTTGTACAAATTTTTATTCTTAGTTGGCGCAATTTTTTTATATCACTATTTTTGTAGACAATATGACAGTTGGATACAATTAGTGCATGAACTTGGCGCCCTTTTTTTACCTTTTTTTAAAAAGGTAAGTTTTTGGGGATTATATCACTTCTTTTTTTAGTCTAATTTGCTAAGAGATATTATATTAAAAAAAGTATGTATATATATATATATATATATATATGTATACTCTTTTAATATATAAGCAAATTATATAAAAATATATATAGAATAAGTATATATAATATACATTTTATATATATATATATAATTAATATATTATATATATTTATATTTAGCTTGTAAAATAGATATATATATTTATTTACCTTACTCCAATTATCATACCGTACTGGCTCTTGCCAATTTTTAATTAATAATTTAATTATTTATTATTTATAACTTGCACTTTATCACTACTCAAAATGCGGTTAATGATACATGTCACTAATGACACATATGACACATGTCATTAATATCGAAAAGCGTCGCTAGCGCAATCTTCTGTCGAGAGTAGGAAAAGGACGTTTTCGCTTTCTATGTGTTGTGTACATGTGCGTGGACGACGACCATGATGATAATAATGATAAAGACGTTTCTTAATTGAAAATTTTCATATTTCGACTTTGCATTATGATATCTCCGTTAATAGATCACGCAGTGCAAAAAGAAAGATACTTTCTTTATACAATTCAAACTCGCTCTATCGATTAAAACTAGTAAGAATTCGATCCGTTCAGCCGTTATTGAAATCCGATAATCTAAGTTACTCTCAACTGTCCGACTCGCGTATAGATACACGGTGTGCCGCGCAATGCTTCGCATGAACTTGGCGCGAGACACTACCGTGTCTCTTGATTGTTATACATCTTCTGTCACTTTATGCGCATCATGTGTGAAAGTACCTATAGATGTCAATTATTTGAATCGACCATGCATATCGAATGTAATACTTATCCAAATAATTGCTACCTATGTATCGATTAATTTATTGCAATTGCAATCACCCAGGTAGCAAGCACACGTCATTTTGACGTTTAAAATTGCTCATTCACTGACTATTCTTGACGTCACGAATTGACGTTTTCATAACGTAAAAGTGACGATCTAATGTCACAGATGCCTTACATCATGACATGTATCGCATTTTGATGTCTTTCTCTTAGCATAATAATATATTTAATAATGTTGTCGAATAAAGCACTCTCTAAAAGTGAATCAGTGTATTATCACTGAAAAACAGTAAATAATCACTAATTACAGTAATTATAAGTACAGCTATAAATCAGTGATATTTTATAGAAAAAATCAGTTAATAATTTTGACTATTTCAGTAACATCTCAGTAATATTTCTTTCGTTATTGCCAGTAACATTAAACTACAATTCATCTCTCTATTTCATAAATATAATATAATAAATATAAAAATATAATATATAATAAACATAAATATAAATAAATAAATATATAAATATAAATATATATAAATATAAATATATATAAATATAAATATATATATATATATATATATATAAAGTCTGATCGCGAAATAAGTCATGTCACATAAAAAATTTTAAAAGATTTTTTTTATGGGATCGATGTACTAACTGTAATGACATTCATAATAAAATAATCGTCACTTCAAGACTGAAAAATGACGTCAAAATAATGTTGCAAGACGTCAATATAAAGTCATGTAACAATAATCAGTCATTTTGACGACATATGACCAAAAATAACTAGTTTGGAACTTCAAAATGACGTGTGCTTGCTACCTGGGCAGTAATCCCTCGCATAAAAAAAATTGGTACACGAAATAAAACTCATCTTATATGCAGTCACCTGCACTATCACACTATCTAGTAACATTAATAACAGATTTCTAAAGTTATTTAGAGACGATTTTTCTTCATTGAAAATGTCGAAGATTTGTAACTAAACCTAAAATTAAAATTTTATTAAAGTGAACTTCACCTGGAATTAATTGAAGAATGTAGCTTTGTTAATATTTTAACTTTACGAAGTTTGTAAAAAGTATATTAAGTAGAGAAGATCGTCATATTTTAATGAAATGACGGGGCTGGTGGCGGATTCTTTGCTTATTTATTTGGATATTTAACATATCCTCAAAAATTACTTTTTTAAAAAGTATAAAAAAGTTAATGTGTCAGTATTAAATTGTAAAAAATTTTATGTTATTGTATAATATAAAGCTGTTTTATGCACAAGACATAGTATTATTTAAACTACAAAAATGTTACATTAAACAAAGTTAATGTGCAAAATAGTTATTTCTTAATTGTTTACAAAAATTAGTGATATCCTAAAATAATTACCTTTTCAAAAAAAGGTAAAAAAAAAAGAAGTCGAGTCATCTCAGTAGTAAAACATTATTGTATAAAATTATTTTTAAAAAATTATTTTAATAAAAAATTGCTGTATTAAAAAAAATTGTGTAAAATAGTTGTCATAACTATCTACAAAAATTAATGATATATTGTATTTAAATAGAAAATTACGTCGAGAATAAAAAAGTGCGATTTTATTTTATGTTTATCAACAGTGTGTGTGTGTGTGTGTGTGTGTGTGTGTGCGTATGTGTGTGTGTGTGTGTTAGATGTGATTGACTGCTGATAAATAATTAGACGAAGAAAAATTATGTTTATTGTATATTCGTCGAAAGTTATTACATCTTTGTCGTAAAAGTCAGAATCCCGATTTCTTCAACGATGAACAGTTGATTCATGTAGCTCGTAATTTAAAAAATTTTAATTATTAAGAAACTCGACGCTGCTGAATAATATACAAATAACTTTGGCAGCGTCGAGTTTTTTAATAATTAAAATTTATTAAATTACGAGCTATATGAATCAACTGTTCATCGTTGAAGAAATCGAGATTCTGACTTTTATGACAAAGATGTAATAACTTTCGCCGAAAATATAAACATAATTTTTCTTCATCTAATTATTTATCAGCAGTCAATCACATCTAACACACACACACACACACACACACACACACACACACACGCACACGCACACGCACGCACACACACACACACACACACACACACACACACACACACACACACAGTTGATAAACATAAAATAAAATCGCACTCTTTTATTCTCGACGTAATTTTCTATTTAAATACAATATATCATTAATTTTTGTAGATAGTTATGACAACTATTTTACACAATTTGTTTTAATACAGCAATTTTTTATTTAAATAATTTTTTGTAAAATAATTTTATACATAATTTTTATTATAATGTTTTACTCCTGAGATGACTCGACTTCTTTTTTTTACCTTTTTTTGAAAAGGTAATTTTTTTAGGATTAAGATTAGACCTAAAAGTAATCAGATCAGAATCAATTTAAAAATATTCTAGAAATATCTTTTCTACATTAAAATTTATTGAGTCGTTTGGAAAATAACATAAACATTAATTTAAGTATATCGGCTAAATAATGTCGACCGGATTCAGTTAAGCATCCTCTATGTTCTTTCTTAATGCTATAATATTTTTCAGACAAAATTCGAAATTTGGTCTAGCATCCGCTGCACTCCAGCAACTTAGCATCATCTGGTACAATGGTGACGGACAGTTAAGAGTCATTGGAAACCTGCTTCCAGCACGTACATAATTTATCACTTCTTCATTAGTCTTGGCACTATAAGGTTGCTCACCCAACGATGTAATTTCCCACATTAATATTCCAAATGACCAAACATTGCTTTGAGAAGTAAATATTCCCATTATTAAAGATTCGGGTGCCATCCAGCGAATAGGAAGCAAACCCTCTCCTTTCTAAAACATAATTTAAACAAAAATTTGATTTTCTGATTTAAGTTGTTCATTTCTAGAATGTGTGTAAAATCAAAAACATTAATTTATCTCTTGCTATATATAAATAAAAACTACTTATATTCTACTATATATTACTTAAGAAACAATGCACGATACTATTATGAAAAAACTATAAAAAATGGAAAATATTTTCAAAAGAATTCATTTTTTAATCCTTAGATTTTTTCATAATTGTACTTACGCGCGCATAATTGTACTGCACGCGATAATCATCCTTGTAGATATTTCTAGCTAGTCCAAAATCTCCAATTTTTATGACATGATTCTCTCGATTTCTCGAAGATACTAAACAATTGCGACATGCTAGATCTCTATGTACGAAACGTAACTCTTCCAAGTAGCAACAACCTCGCGCAACATCTTCGCACATGGCGAGCAAATCTTGCAATCGCAGAGCAAGCGAATCTGACGCTTGCAAATTTCGACATTCTCTCAAATATTTTAACAGATCTCCAGTTTCCATCAATTCCAACACTAGTAACGGAGAATCTCCATCTAAATAAACGGCCAACAATCTTAATATATGTTTGTGTTAAAAATGACTCATAAGCTTAGCTTCCTTTAACAATTTCACTTTCTCATGGGAAGAAGCACCTTTCGAAGCGTTTTTATTGCAACGGATATCTCTGTGCCCGATTTTTCTAAATCCTTCACCTTTCCTTGATACACCTGCAAAATATTTCACACAAATTTACATGCGTACTTTATTGAAAAATGTATAATTTAATGTGAAGTAGTATTTTACTTTATATTTTACTTTATATTAAATAATTCAATGAAAAGTATATAATAAAGTGCATGCTTGTTTTCTCATGTAAATTTTATATCACTTATAATCTATTTAAAAAATTCATGTAATTTATATCTTTATTAAAAATACGTATCTGTTTTGTTAATCCAAAAAATAATTTAAAATATTGCTTGAAAAAATTAATTTTTACCATTCCGAATGCGCCGCTACCAAGATGTTTCGTAAGTGTAATTTGATTTCGTGCGATTTTAGTTATCGCATATTCATCCGGGTTATAATGTAACATAGGACTGTAAATCATATTGGATTGAGTGTTTCGGCAAGGTACTTCAGGTAGAATCGCCAATTCTACATCGGTCATTGTAGAAGACAAAAATTGTTCATTATTACCTCTGCGTTGACGATACACTATTATAAAATTACGATTTAATTATGTAATAATATATATTATAAAATTTACTGTATTTTAGTAAATTTATTCGTTTAGTTTTATATAAGTAAATTACTATTTTCAGTAAATCTCTAGATATTATATCAAATATATATGCATAATCTACAATTCAAGTTGACATTTATATCAAATATACTTACAACGATAAATGTCGAAAATGCAGATTATAGGAACTATAACCAACATCAATAATAAGTAATATTTATTCCCTATTATTCCAGGAGTGCTCGGAATATCTAGATTAAGCAAAAGTATAATTTTAATATCTTCGTGTGTGTATCCTTTTACAAATTTAGTTTTACTTATAACTTTATTATAAGATTTAATTTTTTTAAATTTCATATTCCTATTCATATCCAAAAAATATCAGCACATAATATTATAATATCTATGCAGCACAAAATATTACAACTACTTTGCAACAATGTTGGAATATTACAAATTGCAAGGCAACATTACGGAAACATTGTAGAAATATAATTTAACAAAATGTAAATTAGATATTAGCAATATAATATTTATATTTTGAAAACACTTTAAAACTATAACACTCTTTAATTTATCTATAAAAATAATGTAATAATACATTTTTTTATGTCTGTATATATTTTTTATGTCTGTATGCGATGAATTTTACTTTTTTGCAGAAATCAAATAAAATATTGATACAAATAATATCGAGTAAATATAATTCTAAGCTACAGATAAGCCTTGCTATTTTTTTATTAAAATATAGATAACATTTTATATCAATGTTACAATATATTTTATGATATATTTCCACTTCATGTACGAATACGATATTAATCTTCAAAGATAATATATCTTTTTATTATATTAAGAATATATATTATTATATCTATCATTATATTTTTCTATGCATTTTTCTGTACTTTTCACATGCAAATATATGTAATTATAACGGATTTTTAAAATTTTTAAATAAAAATGTTATTAGGAATGTATAATTAATTCTATAACTAATATATAAATGTATATAAAATACACATTATAAGAGCATATAGAACATTTAAAATAAAAAAAGTGATTTCTAAGTAATAGTTTAGAGAAATTTTGTATAAAAATATAACATTATATTTTATATGATGTTATGTTTAAATATAATTTTACAATATATTAGGTATCGTAAACTAGTATTTATATCAAGCTTTTTAATTTAATTAAATGTTTCCAAGATATTCATCCATCAAAAACAAAAATATTTTATACGTAATGTTATTAAATAGCTGCAATAACATTGCATTTTTTCCATATATTACACTGTAATATTGCTACAATATTTCATTGCAAAAAGCGAACACTTTAACTTTATCACAATCTTATAACAATAACTCTGCAAAGTTTCGCATTCTTTTCGCAAATTTTTTATGATATTCATTTGATGCAGTTTGAATCAAACAATAAGTAATGCGGTAGTGTGTTTGGCTAGCGATCACAATACTAACTGACTTCGAATGATAAATCTGATCATGTTGCCATGACGTCTTATTAACTGCATTCCGTTTGTAATTTATTTTTTTTTCACGGAGATACTCGCGTTATTTCAAAAAGAATTAAAATCTTTAAAAATTATTTGATAAAAAAGTTATATATGTATAAAACAAAAATAGTTCAATGTATAAATAAAAATAATTATATGTATATATAATTGTTTAATGAATTTTATTATAAACTTTTTATATTAATTTATTTCTGAGTATCTTCTCTTTGGCATAAGAAGTACGTTTACTATATAAAAAGATATTCTGATTATAAGAAAAGTAATAATGGATATAAAAAAGCGGTTTATACGTTTTCTGTGACATTCATATAATGCAGTTTGAATCAATACATAGCGTTTTTAATATAAATCTTGTAGTTCTAGTATGAATAAGTATAAACTTCCAATAGCACATAAATAACTAAAATAAATAAAATAATTGTACGAGTTATTATTTGCATCGAATAACCTTATAATAACGTATAATTTTTTTTTTTTTTTTTTTTTTTTTTTTTTCCGCTGGCCGGGAGGTGGAAATACTTGATGCACATCCCTGGGTCGGCCCAGGCGGTAGTGTGGGACTGAGTGCAATGGGTAGTGGGCGTGATAACCCCCAGCTACCCGTACGTTACCCACTAAAACCACCCCCCTGGGGGGGAGGCAACCCGAAAGTTGCCCCCCCCCATTACCATCCGAACCTTCCTTTCTCCATATGCCCTTTCGGGAGGGACCGTTTGACACATTACTTCTTCCGGAAGGGCAGAGTCCGCGCTTATGGCGCCCTTCAATAAATATTTACAACACATACTGGACACACACTAATCCTACACTCTGTTGTCGTCATCGTCTCCGTCATCTTTGTCGACGTCATCAGTTATTCTCGGGGGCCTTCCCCTCCGCCTCCGAGCCCCTCTGGTTGAAGGGCTCAGAGGCGAAGGGAGAGGCAAACCCTGGGAGGACGCCACCAGAAGCTGTGCCTGTGCCTGTCGCTCCCTCTCATCAGCCTCCTTAGCAGCCATCACAGTCTCCGCAAAACCAGCCACTGCCAGCCACGCTTCACAAGAACCCAGCATCGCCGCGACCATATGATCCAGGGTCATATCCGCTGCTCGTCGCACAGGATCAGCAACATCTAGATCCATTTCCTCCACGTCGATCAGGCCAGCTACAGGGGCAACCGCCAATACAGGGTCTTCTTCAGCCATTGCCGAGCCATCATCATCCGTCCCCAACACCAGGGCAACTGGCCTCGGGAGAGGGGGAGGAGGAGGTGCTCTACCTATCCTTTCAATAAGCTGGCTTCTTTCATCCTGCCACCTGCTATAGTAGGACAGTGTGTGCTCAGGCGTGTCTACGTCGCCCGAATCACATGCCGCACACGCTGAGTCAGGGACTTTAAAAAAAAAAAAAGACGATAGCAGTAAGATTCGAACTCGGGTCAGCGCCGTGACAAGCAGACATCTTACGCGCACTGTCACGCGCTATTACAATAACGTATAATATAATATAATTTTACTTAATATTAACTTAACATAATGTACTTAATATAATATATAATATAATATAATATAAAAAACTAATAATATAAATTACTTTATTATTTTAATTAGATAGTATAAAGCTCTCATAATTAATAAATTAAAATCATTCAAACAGGCATAGAGAGCTGGAAATCATTATTAGTCGCGAATTATACAGATTAAATAATAGTAAACATTAATAGGTTGAAAATTCAGTTTTAATAATACATAAATGTTTAGACAATTTAAGAGCGGACGTTTCGACTTATATTTAAGTCATCTTCAGTGCATGTTAATTCTCGTAAAGTAAGCAGATGCTGTACGCAGTAAACATATGTAATGAATTTCAATTCGCAGTAAAACGGTACTCTCTAAAAGTGAATCAGTGAAAATATCACTAATTTAAACAGTAAAATAAGATTTCACTGAGAATCAGTGAGTATTTTACTGATCTTCAGTGGAAACGCTTATTTTTTTGTTATTTTATCTTATATCTTATATTTGATTATGGTCAGTTAAAATAAAATTCACTGTAAAAACAGTAAATTTTACTGTAAAACCAGTAATCGCTAGTTCGTTCATTTACCGCTACAATCGCTATCTCTCTCGTATTTAATTTTAGTTATAAGAATTATATAAAGTTTGCAAAGAGCAACACTTAAAATTAGAAGTATTACTTCGATTTAATTTCTGATACAAGCTCAATAGAGAGGCTTTAGATATTAAATCGATCTTTATAAGTCGGACAATGTCTGGCGACTTAATGAAAATTATTTGTTCGTTATCTATTTAAAATAACAAGTTCAATATGCATGTAATATAAATAAAATAAAATTTTTAATATAATAAATATTTAGTAAATATAAATAAAATTTTTAATTTTATATGAAATAGATAGAGAGATGAATTATAGTTAAATATTACTGACAATAACAAAGGAAATATTGAGAAATATTACTGATTGAAATAGTCAAAATTATTAACTGATTCTTTCAATAAAATATTATTGATTTACAGTGCTGTACTTATAACTGCTGTAATCAGTGACTATTTACTGTTTTTCAGTGATAATACACTGATTCACTTTTAGAGAGTAGGGAGATCATCTTACGGTTATATCCATGGATGAAACGGACCTTAGAAGTTTAAGTTAATAGGTCTAAATTTTGTGTGGTTCTAATGGACGTTTGTCAAACCGCAGACCAATAGTCAGACTATAAAAATAAGTAAAGTAATTGTCAACCATGGATTCGCAATATTTACATTTGAAATGAGACTTTAAACAATGAACAAAATAGAAATTATTAAAATTAAAATAATTAAATAAAAAATAAGAAGTTATTAAGCCCAGTGAGGTAAAAGTAACTTACAATATCATGATGAGTCCGAATTATATTAATTTATCTGTCACTGGGAAAAACTTTATAAAACTGTATGTTACTTCCTTCTTCGAAGGTACGAATATAAATGACAGTATAACGTTCATTATACTAGTATTAATTTTTCTGTGTATGACCTCAGGCGTCAGGAAGTTTATTTATTAAATCATTGCATATGTCAGGAAAGCATTCTCTGTCTGTTTGTGAATTTAAGCCGTTACGTTGTCATTTAATATAAATCATTTCGGAAATTAGTCTTTTGTAATAAAAGGTTTCTCTGTCCAAAATCTTCACCTCATCCATTAAAATTCAATCTATGTTCTGTAATGACAGACCTATTCGTTGTATTTTTATTAATATTCTTTTTGTGTTCATTTATCCTAGTACTTAATTTTCTGCCTGTTTGTCCAACATATGTTGCGTCACAATTCTCGCATTTAATCTTATAAACGACATTAGTGTGAGAGCCTTTAGGAATAATGTCTTTATGGGTCTTAATTATTGTACTAAGTTTGTTAAGACTAAAGTATGACAAGACGGTATCCGTGTATTTAATAATGTTTTTCATATTGTTAGTCAAGGATGGAATGAAAGAAACTGTAAAAATATGAAACATTTTCTTTTTCAATTTCAGGTTTATTAGTTGTATTATCATGTAACAGATGACGATGTACATGACGAAGTCTCAGCGGTTTGACAAATGTTCATTAGAACCACACAAAATTTAGGCCTATTAACCTAAACTTGCAAGG